GGCACTTCGTCTCAGTACAAATGAACCCTTGTAGGGGCCTAAGAAGAGGGAGCTTGGAGGGAGGGGTTATTGCAACATCGTTGATGACTCTTGGGTTTACACTGGTCCTCCTCCTCCTCCTCCTCCTCCTCCGTCCTCCTCCTCCTCCGCCCTCCTCGTCATCCTCCTCTTCCTCCTCTTCCTCCTCCTCCTCGCCGCATCCCCTCCTTCCCTGCCCTCTGCCCAGACATCCGGCGTCGTGGTCCGGGCCTGCTCCCTGGGACTGGCCTCTTGCCCCAAGGCACCTCTGACGCTCCCCCGGCCCGGTGAGACCCCCGAGGGACGACCACGGCAGACAGACTCCCTCTGGCGTTTGCTCTGCGCCGCGAGGATGTCAGGGGCGTGGCGAGCGCGTGAGCCAGCCGAAGCCAGTGCACCCGAGAGCCCGTCCGCGGAGCGCGGGCTCAGGGGCTCGCAGCGAGTAAAGGCCTCCTAGATAGGGGCGGAGTAGATGGGGTCGGAGGATCGCGCCGCATCGCCGATACGTCGGCGACGCATCGGCGATGCATCGGCGATGCATCGTCGACGTATCGGCGATACATCGGCGACGTCGACGTGAAGCAAATTGGACTCCACATCGAGACGCCTCGGCGATGTATCGGCGTTGCGGCGATGCGGCGCGATCCTCCGACCCCATCTACTCCGACCCCATCTAGGAGGCCTAGAGCGAGGACGCAGGGAGGCGGGCCAGCAGCGGCACGCACAGCGCAGCCCCGTGGTCGCAGCGCGCCACGAGGCTACGGGCCCCGCGGCACGCAAGGCGGGCTCCGTCGAGATCACTGGCTCACGGGATCAGTCGGCACCGCACCAGGAGCTCGTGTCGAATCGGAGCGTGCCCTGGATCGGGCCGCAGCGGCACGGAGTCGAAGTCGTGTCGAATCGACTGCGCCAGGATGCACAGCAACGCCATGCAAACATCGGCCCGCATCGGATCAACGGGAATTCGGAACCGGATGGGATCGAGCCAGCCGAAATCAGCATTGAATCGGATCGATCAAGTCGAGATGGACCCTGCAGGGGAGCTGTCGTGCTCTCTTTAGACATTACGACCGCACGTCGATGCTGACAGTCGTCGCGGGTGCGGCTGGAGAAAGTGTCGCCCCTCCGAAGAGCGTGAATGATGTACCATCGTACTAATAGCCGCCCTGTTTTAGCTCCATGATGCATATATAAAGAGAGAGAGAGATGTGTATATATAAATATGTATTTATATACATGAGAGAGAGAGAGAGAGAGAGAGAGAGAGAGAGCGTGATCCACCGCCGCTTTACTATGGAAAATTCCCCCCCCCTCTTCCTCCGGAACCCGGGGCCCCCCCCTCCGGAAAATCCTCCCCCCCTGCTGACCCCCCCCCCTCCCCCCCCACTCCCCCGGCAAACCCCCCGCCCTCCTTAACCCCCATCCCTCCCCTCGAATTGCCCCTCCCCTCGAAACCGGAGGGGGTCACTACCGCACCCCCCCTCGAAAAACCGGAGGGGGGTCACTACCGGTTCGAACCCCTCCCCCCCCCCCCCTCACCGCCAGCAAACGACTCCCGGTCCCTACCACCGTCCGCACCACATCCCCCACTGTTGTTCCCAGCGCCACTGTCCTCACCACCAGTCCCCACTGGTTCCACCACCGTCCCTACTGTCCCCACCAGTGCCCCCACCACTGTCGCACTGTCCCCCCTGTCCCCACCACTGTTCCCACCACGGTTCCACTCTCCCCACTTTCTCCACGGCCCCAACCACTGCCCGACTATCCCCACTGTCCCCACTGTCCCACTGACTCCTCCGCTGTCCCACTGAGCTGTCCCACTGTTCCCACCACTGTACCCACTGTCCCCACCACTGTCCCCACTGTACCTCTGTCCCATTGTCCCACCGCCGTCCTCGCCACCGCCTTCACCACTGTCCCCACCACCATTGTACCCTCCACTGTCCCACTGTTTCCACCTCATTCCCACTGTCCCACACCACTGTCCCCACCACCACCGTCCCCACCACTGTCCCTGTCCCCACTGTTCCCACCATTGTCCTCACCACTGTCCCCACCACTACCGTCCCCACCACTGTCCCACTGTCCCCACCACTGTCCCGCTGTCCCCTCGCCACTGTCCCCACCACCACCGTCCCCGCCACTGTCCGCAACCCGGTTTTCGAGGGGGGGAGGTCGAACAGGTAGTGGCCCCCCCCTGGTTTTCGAGGAGTGGGGGGGGGTCGAAGTGGTAGTGACCCCCCCCCCCTTGTCATGATGGACTGGTGGGGGGGAGAGGGGTTCGAACCGGTAGTGACCCCCCCCCCCGGTTTTCCGGAGGGGGGGGGGTTCGAACCGGTAGTGACCCCCCCCAGTTTTCTGCCAGCAGCGGTAGAACACGCTCGTTCATAATATATATATATATATATATATATTCATACATATATAATACGCACTGTGAATTACACTTGTGCGACCGCCTGCTGCCAAATCTCCAGCGCCCAACCACCAGGCCCAGCAGCGCCCTGCGCTGCCTGTGAAACATGCATGCGCGCTGGCTTCACCGGCGTCCCGGACAGCACATGGCTCGAGCCAACAGCCTGCGGGGAGGGGGGGGAGGAGGAGGAGGAGGAGGAGGAGGAGGAGGAGGAGGAGGAGGAGGAGGAGGAGGAGGAGGAGGAGGAGGAGGAGGAGGAGGAGGAGGACAAGGAGGAGGACGAGGAGGAAGGACGAGGAGAAGAAGGAGGAGAAGCGGGGGGAGAAAGCGATAAGGGATGATCAGGTAGCACTGTGAGAGGGGAGGGAGAAAGGGAGGAGTACGGAGGAGGAAGGACGAGGGAGAAGGAGCAGGGAGGAGGGAGAGAGGGAGGGGGAGGGATAAGGAAGGAGTGAGCAAGGAGCAGGTTCAAGTAGGGAAGAGGGGTCGGCAGAGGAGGTGGAGATGGCGAGAGGAGGGAAGAAAAGGTGTAGCGAAGGATGAGGAGGAGGAAGAGAAGGAGGAGGAGGAGGAGGATGCGGAGGAGGAGGAGGACGAGGAGGAGGAGGAGGAGGAAGGAGGCGAAAAGGGGAGGGGAGAGGAGATAAAGAAAACGACTAAGGGGGACGACGACGACGACGACGACGACGACGACGACGACGACTACGACGACGATGACGGCGGCGGCGGCGGCGACCTCGACGACGACGACGACGGCGGCGGCGGCGACAACGACGACGAGAACGACGACGACGACGACGCCGACGCCGCCGCCGCCGACAACGACGACGGCGACGACGACGGCGACGACGACGACGGTACCGCACTTGCCGCCTGGCCTCGCCCCTCGTCCTCGACACGATCTCGGACGAGCTGCAGGCGGACCCCAAAACTGCCTCTGCCCCTTACATTTGCGGGCATCATGGTTGATCAACAACAACGCCAACCCCCCACCAAGCCCCCCACCGGCCTTTCGCCGCTGGGCGGGGGGGAGAGGAGGCGGGAGGAGGCGAGAACACCAGGAGGAGAGAGGAGGCAAGGGAAGGAGGAGGAGGAGGAGGCGAGGAGGAGGAGTAAGAGGAAACGAGGAGGAGGAGGAGGAGGAGGAGGAGGAGGAGGCAAGAGGAGGAGGAGGAGGAGGAGGAGGAAACAAGGAGGAGGAGGAGGAGGAGGGCCGCAGCGCTGGGGCCGCCGCCGCGTCGGCACGTCGCGAGCTTACCGCACCCACGCGGGAACGACGGCGAGGGCAACCACAAAGACGGAGCAGTACGTACGACGAGGACCAGAAGCACAGCAGACGACACAAGCGTAGCCTTGCAGATGTCCGCGCGGAATTCTTGGGTCGGCGCAAATCCCAGAAGTCCGCGCGGCCTCCGAAAAAATATGGGTACAGTGTTTCCTCTCCCAAGGACGACGGCGAAGTCCCTAGAAGTCTCGACCCTTGCCCGAGGGAGACTCTGCCGTCCTGGGTCCATTCTTGACGGCCCTGGGGAATGAAGACGGCCCCCAGAGGCCGAGACATAGGAAAAATCAATCCAGCGATCTTCGACCGATCGATCGATCGATGATCCATCGGCGGCGACAGTGGCAACGGCAGCGGCGGCGGCGCAGCCTGTGACCAGCGTGCCCAGCGAGATGAAGGCCACGCCCGCCTCGCGACAGCGTATCGCGCGGCGGGCCGCGCGCAACGGGCTCGTTCACTCCTCCTCCTCCTCCTCCTCCTCCTCCTCATCATCATCATCATCATCATCATCATCATCATCATCATCATCATCATTTTCATCATCATCATCATCATCATCATCATCATCATCATCATCATCATGATGGTGTCCGTTTCGACCCACCCCTGGAATGTTTTGCTGAGGAGGCGAGAAGTACAATAAAATTGCTTCAAAGCTTGCTAAACTCAGTTTGCCGCCGAGCTCGGCTCGGCGGGGGACGGTGGGGGGGTCGCGATAATCTGTACCAGGTTGGAGCCATATGGTACGGTTGCGGAGCAGGCCGTGCCGCACACGCGAGGGCAGGGGGGCCTTCACGGGCAACCAAAACACAACCTACCGAGCCCACCCGTTTTGGAGGGCCGAGGGGAGCCAGGCCGGGAACGAGGCCCACCGGCGAAAAGGCCCCCCAACAAGCTGGCACGCCCCTGCGGGCTCCGAGGCTCCAAGGAAAATTCCACGATCCCACCCCAAACTGTCGGTGCACATCAACACTCATGCTCTACGATTATTATCCCATGATGGTGCCCGTTTCGACCCACCCCTGGAATGTTTTGCTGAGGAGGCGAGAAGTACAATAAAATTGCTTCAAGGCTTGCTAAACTCAGTTTGCCGCCGAGCTCTTCCCACCTCCGCTTGCGAGCTGTATGTGTCTCAACAGCTTGGTCCTTCACCCGGGGCACAAAATGTGCTCGGACCTTGATGAGTTGAGAAGGAACCTGGAACACAATCAAAATTGAAAACAAGCCCCCCCGGCCCGCCCTCGCAGTGTGCACCAGAAAACTCCTAAATCTTCGGTGACCACCCTAGACTCCGAACAAAACGAGCTGCAACACACTCTTAACTGCCATATATACAGCACGAAGTAGCCTACGGGCAATGTTGATGCAGGCCCCTGGGAGCCTGGCAACTTGAATTTCACGATCAGTCATGGACATGTAGCGTATCACGGGCAGTGGGAGCCCCTCCAGGGTGGAGCTTATGTGCGCCACGACTGTATCTCGCTCTGAGCTGAGGTCGCAGTCGAGGCTGCTCCAGACTGGGTTGCTCCACTGAACCTTGAAGTTCACGATCCGCTCGACCATGTGGACTCCGTAGAACCCGGACGGCAGCAGGTCAAGTGTCATGTGCAGCTCGCGGCATTGACTTGGCCAGATCATCATCTGCCATCTCTCTGACATGTGAGGTATGTTCACCGAAGCTTCAGAGATCGCGGCGGTGACCTGCTCGGCTCCTGGCGGGCGAGGCTCGCCTGTCAGGAACTCGCGCTCGATCCAGGCTTGCAGGATCTCGGGGTCGTCCGCTAGCCGCTCGGCGTGGCGCTGGCGGACGTGCAGGTTGGTAATGTCGACCCCCCGCCAGGCTTCCTGCAGGAGGCTCGCCGAGCTGCGGGACGACGTCACGGCGAAGTCGGACACGCCCTGTGCTGCCGCGATGACTGCCCCGAGGCTGCTGTCGACCACCTTGCCAGCCGAGACTGATACGCTGGCCACGACACCCATCATGGTCCCGAGGTGGGTGAGCGGCCCGGCCATGTAGCTCCACCCGATCAGCATCGCGGCGACCGCCGCCCACGTCACTCCTCGAGTAGTCGAGCGTCCGCACCACCTTGCGATGAGCCAGGCCGCGCGCAACAGCGACCAGCTGCTCCAGCGCGCGCGCCTTTGCCCCGCGGCCGCGCCCGCTGCCAGCGGCTGCGCCACCGGCGGCTGCGGGGGCCTCAGTGCCGCCACGCCTGGGGCCGCCGGCGCTGGCGCCTCGGCCTCGGCCGCGCCCGCGCCCGCCGCTGCATCCCCCGGCTGCTGCGGACCCGCCAGCAGCCCATCCACCAGGGCGCCCAGTGCTGGCGCAGGCGGCTGGGCTGGGGCCCGCGGCGCTGGCGAGGCCACCCGGCGGCCCCCCGCCAGCGGCGCTGGAGGGACTCCCTCTGTCGGCAGCACCCAGGCGCCGTCCTGGCCCTTGCGCCAACCCGCTGGCGGCATGCTGGAGGCCCTCCCCCTCGCCGAAGATGCCCTCCGGGAAGTAGTGGGGCAGCTTCTCGGCCGCCTCGCGGATGAGCGGTGCGAATCCTCGCTGCTCAGCCTGTGCCAGGACCCGGGAGGCGGTGACGACGTCCACGTAGATGCGGAGGCTGGACTCGGTGAGCCACCGTCCTGCCTCCTTGATGTCCTGGAAGGGGGCGCCACGAGCCACGGAATCGCTGGCGAAACCTGCGCGCGCCGAGTGTGGCGTCCAGTGAATGTCGAGGCCCAGGGCTGCTTCAAACTGCTTGAGCCGATGTCTGTAGTCGACAAGCGAGTAAGGAAAGAGGAGCCCCTCGGGCGGCGTTCCCAAGACTACTCGGTGCAAGAGGTTCTCCAGTACTCCGCCCTGCTCCAGAATAATGGCGAACTGCATCCTTTTGGCCTTTGTCCCCGACTTGGCTCCCAAGTTGATAACCCAATTTGACTGCAAATCAGGTCCCCCTCTCGACGATGGCAATGATATGTCTTTTGCTCTGAGCTGAAGCATCTCCGACGGGCGCAGGCCGCGGTCCACCTGTAGTAGCAAGCCTACCCCCAGCCGCGGCACGCCCCAGCAGGAGAAATAGATAGCGGCCAGGTTGGCCGGCGCGCGGCCGAGCGGCGGCGCGTGCTTCACCTCGGCCGACACTCGCCATGCGTCAATCACCGAGTGGGGCCAAGTCAGCTTCCTCCTCAGGCGTGGGAAGACAAACTCCATTGCCGCGACAGCGTACTCGAAATTGCACTTGGTCATCTGCATGTCGTTCTTGTATTCGACAAGCAGGTCGTCCCACTGCTCGGGCCCGTCGGGGACAAAACCGTGCTCGTCCAGGTAGGTCACGAACTTCATAGCCGCCGCCCTGTAGGCTGCCAGGGTGCGCGGCTCTACCTTCTCAACAGAAGTGCTCTCCAGCTTCCTCGGCCCCGACATGAGGTAGGCCGCGGAGCTCAGCACAAGTCAGGCACCTCGATATCTTATCAGCAGGCTGCCTGAGCGTCTCCACCCATGGAATCAGAATCTTCGTACGAGATGCCATCCCTGCTGCGGTCTTCTGACGCAACAGGTGGTTCAACATGTGCGCCGGGGACCTCCCCTTGCATACCGCGCCCGAGACTGGCTGGTTGTCCTCCAGGATCGGCAGCACGGTGCGGTGTAGAGCCGGAGTGGCGGCCGCCCGTCTGCTGATCTTCACGACGCAGCGCCCCTCGCCCAGCGTGATGTGGTCGGCCGCCCGCCACCTCCCCGCTCCTACGATCGTCCAGTCCTCGTCGGGCTTGAACACTCGGTCGGGGAGGAGGCTGAAGGGCTTCGTCCGACGGATGACCTGCTCGGGACGCCGCAATCCAGTAAGCTCGCCGTCCAGTCGCGCCACGGTGTAGCCCAAGTTGCCGCCCGTGTCGATGAAGTCCTTCGCGATGTCCTCGCTCATGTCTGTCGCCAGGATGCCCCAACCGCCGTCGTCCTCCACGTTGGCGCCCATGGCGTCCGCCGCGAAATACACGGGGGCTGGCGGGGCTCCCAGGTCGGCGTACATCGGCGGGACTACTCGAGCCATAGCCCGCAGCTCCCTGCGGACGGTCGCCCAGGTGCACACCCTCTGGTGCGGGTGCCTCTCCAGGAGCCTGAAGACGGCACTGGGTATGCAGAGCAGCTCCCTCCGAAGTAGTGCGCCCCAGATCCACACCCCCAAGAGCGATCGAAGCTCCTCGGTGTGGAGGGAGCGGGTGGCGCCCATCGCCTCCAGCTGCTGCACCAGCTCTCGCGCCCTCTTCGGGGGCAAGCGTAGCTGCGCCGGACGCGCCTGTGGTGCGTAGCCCAGCACCTTCTGCATGTCGCTGGCCTCCGTGCGGTCGGTGACCACGAAGCCGGCCTCGGCCAGGGCATCCGCCAGCTGGTGCATCTTCCCAGAGGCCCGTGGGCCACAGCCGATGCCACCGGCCATCGCCACCCCGTCGTCGACGTGCAGGTAGAAGGCCATCTGCGGCCCGTCCAGCACCAGCCCACGACCGCGAAGCACATCCTCGTTCCGCACGGCTACCGCTGGCGTCGTAGTGCTCCGCGAGCTCCAGGCGGTGACCGACCTGTCGGCCTCCGGCGGCCTTCGCCGCCCGGTGCCGCCCAAGCCGGTCTGCTCGAAGATGGCCAGGGTCTGAACTATCAAGGTGCCCAGCGTTTCGCACATCCCCTCGGGGTACTGGGCCAGCGGGCTCGCGCGGAAGGTGCCGTCGGCCAGCTTGCCCTCGGCCGTCTCGTGGGCATGGGGCCCGTCACACCGCCGCTCGTTCAGGTCCTCCAGCCCCTGCAGCGCGCCGCTCAGACACGTGGGCTTCTTCGTCCGTCCGCCCAGCATGCATTGGTCCAAGCGCGCTCTCCGCGACGAGCGCCTCGTCTCGAAATCCAGCATCTCAGTCGTGTTCCAAATGGATGGGTAGGGCGCATGCCCTGGGTCCTCCGGGTGCTCGATGAGGAAGGCGCCGCCACTCTGGCCGCACGCCTCGCAGAGCGCCAACAAGTTCAGCGTCAAGGTGTTACTCTCCGCGACTCTGGCGGCCTCCCAGTCCCTGAGGCCTGGCAGCCCCCAGGGGCACCGCCGCGATCGCACCGGCGGCGGCCCAGGTCGGCGACGATTGTAGCGTGCCCGCGACCAGGTTGAACAGGGCGGACCGCCCAGTACGATGTCCACCCAGCCGCCCTCGCACAGCTCCATCAAGGCGGAGAACGTGGAGGGGTTGGCCAGGTCCCACCGCGGGTCGTCCAGGAGATCGGCGGAAAGGAAGAGCACCCTCAAGCTCCGCTCCTTCGCCAGCCTCTCTCCCACCTCCTGCGCGTCACCACGCCGCCGACGGCCAGCGAAGAGATGCATCACCACCATCACGCGCTCGTCATCCCTCTTCGCCCGCCTCACTGTTTCCAGCCACTCCGCCACGCTGTAGCCCCTCGGGCTAGGCGGCGCAGCCCGGCAGCTGCGCTGCTGCCCTAGCCAGTCGTCGTCGTAGCGGTGCTGCTGAGTGTCCTCAGGCTCGGCATCCCCGCGGCTGCCAGCCTCCAGCCCCCCGTCCTCGGGCGGCGAGGTGCGTGGCGCACAGCAGGCCGCGCCGTCGGCGGGAGCCGCGGCGCCCGCGAGCACCCCCAAGCGTGCGCCCACGCCCAGCAGCGCCCTGCCGATGATCGCCATGTTGACCGTCATGAGCAGGTGCACGGAGTGCGAGCCGCCCATGGCCAGGCGATGGTAGCAGGGGGCTACCCAGCCCGTCGGCCCCACCCTGTCGCGCAGACGCTGGCTGAGCTTACCCCGCACCCAGCAGGCGCGAATCGGCGGGCATGCCTGCCACCTGGCCATCCAAGCGGGGACGCGGAGGCGGGTGAAGGCGTTGTCCTCGTCGAACGCAGCCACTCCCCACTCGTCCGTCGGGACGCACATGGAGGCGATGGCCGCCCCGCCGTGCATCCCGTGGTCGCCGCGCTGGTGAGGGTCCGCCCACGCGTAGTTGCTGGCACACATCATCAGGACCTTCCGCTGCTTGGCGGGGTCCTTCTTGGGTACACAACTAAACCCGCAATAGGCCTGGACATCGTTGGGGTCCTCGAACGTCCACATGTCCTTCGGCAGATCGGCCCGCATCAGGTAGCGGGCGTACTCGGACGTCGAGCCCCCCACGAAAGCGAAGCGTTCCTCCAGCTCCTCGAAGAGAACCCCTGACTTGCCGCTGTAGTCCAGGACGTTCTGCTCGTCCGAATAGTACTGGCGCTCGCCGTCGGGCAGCGCCTCCAGCAGGTCCACGACCATGTCGTCCGGAGGTTCTACCACCGCCGCTGCGCACATCATCACGTGCTTGCTCACACCCTTGCGCTCTCCAGTGTAGGCGTCCTGCGGTCCTCTGTCGCAGGCAGGATCCGTCCCTTGACCGCCTGTCGGGGCAAGCCCCCGGCAGTCGCGCTCGTACCGCGCTGCGTCCTGTAACGCATACTGCTGCACGAGCTGCCAGGCCAGCATCATCTCGTTATCGCTCGTCTCGCGCTGGCCCGTTGGTCTCGCCTCCAGGGATCCGCGGTCCATCCCGTTCATGAGCTCGATGAGCCCACAGGCCCGACGCCGCACACGCATGCGTCGTGCCCATCGCGTCCTCAACCTGCCTGAAGAGGAAGCTCCTTGTTGTGGCCGATGAGGTAGAGGTATGGGAAAGAACGACCTGGCCTCGGCCTCCTTCCACTGCAGGGCCCGCGTCAGCGAGCCTGACAGACCCGTCACTGGCATTCTAGGCTGCACCCGCGGCGGCGGGGCACCTGCTCGGACCGAGGGAGGGTCGTGAGCCCCTCGGTCCGCCAGTGACCGTCAGGCCTGGGGTTTGCCCCGGCCCGAGGGTTTCCCCCCTCGGCCGCGGCCGCGCCCCCCGCCATCGCCACCTCGGCCTCGGCCGCTGCTGGCTACCTCGCTGCCTCCCGCCGCTCCACCGCCTTGGCCCCCGCCACGGCCGCCGCCTCGACCGTCGTGCTTGATGGCGGCATGGGCCCTCTCGTCGCGCTGGTGCTCCGCCTGGCTGTGGGTCGTGGCCTCGGTCACCAGCCATGTCGGAGCCAAGTCGGCGGCTGACCCGGGCGGGCGGACAGCCAACATGGCCGCCCCCCCAACCTTGTCCTTCGTCCGCATCTCGTAGACGTAGCTAGCCAGCCGCCTCAGGTGCAGCTCCAGCGCATCGTCGGACGCCAAACGGGTGAGCAGCTCGGACTGGTTCGCGCACCCGCCCAACAAGTAGTCCACGTTGGTGGCGGCAGTCCACAGGTCGGTCCAGACCGCCGTGTGTCGCTGGCCCGTCACCTCCTGCGACAGCCAGTCCCGCGCGCTGGCCGCCCCCGCGCCCCGCATGGTGCGGTAGATCTCCGGCGCCGCGCGCCGCAGCTCCGGCGGGAGGCTCAGGTTCCATCGGCTGTCCTCCTGATGCTGCTGGGTCTGCGGGGCCACGGCCCACCCAGGGGAGGCGTGCATGCCCCCGCCGTGAGGCGCCGTAGGGGAGGCGAGCAGCGCGTCCAGCTCCTGCTGCAACGACTCTCCTGGCGGGGACGTCGTCCCCGCTCCCACGTAGCCGTGAGTCTGCAGCACTCGTCGTAGGTCAGGGTGCAGCCCCCTGGAGCCATCCACGGCCGCGATCCTCTCCCAGAAGTGCCAGGCCCAGTCCTCGTTGATGGCCGCCTGCGCCTGGAACTCGCGCAGCGTGGCGCCCACTATCTCCACCTCCCGTCCTAGCTTCACCGCATCTGCAGGAGAGTGGGGCACGTGGAAGCTGAGCCCCGATGCTGGGACGGCCACCTCTGGTGTCGGCTGTGGCTGCTGCTGCTGCTGCTGCTGCTGCTGCTGCATGGCCGCGGTCTGGCTGAAGGGGCCCGGCACCTCGCACCCCTGGGCGAACGCCCGCAGCGCCGACAGGTCCTGCGCGCCAGGCTTCGCCGCAGCGGTACCCGCGCCAGCGCTGCGGGCAGCTTGCTCAACGCGGCCTGGTTGGATGTCCCACGGCGACGTGACCTTCCAACCTCCCCCTCTCGCCGTCCTCCCTACCCGCGTCGCGCTCGCTCGCAAGATCAACGGCACGGAACGGCATCAAGCGACCCCCCCGTCCCCTCCGTCTCCAGCCTGGGCCCCACGCCAACCCCCGCGTACCCCCCTCCGCGGCCTCCGGCGGCGGCGGTCCCCAGGGCCGTCACCATCCCGCCGAAGCTCTCCCGCGCCTGAGGCGATATTGTCCGTAACCGCCGCCGACAGCGTGTCCACCAGGCGACCACCCGCTCGGGCACCCGCCGTACCAGCAGGAAGGTCCCGACCAGCCCCACAGCCCCGCCTGCCAGGCGGTGTCGCACTGAATCGGCCCCCAGCACCACCGCCAGGCTCGACAGGAGGAGACCTATGCCAAGGTGCAGCACCCAGTCGACGGGCAGCGAGTTCCCGTCGGCCCCCACCGCTCGGGCCCAGATCCGATCCGCGATCGTCTCCCAGCCATCGGCGTCGGCCGCCACTCGTCTGATCCGACCCTCCGTCTGCGTGGCGACAGTGGCGGCCTCTGTGAACCCCCAGAGGGCCTCGGCCATCTCGGAGCCTGGCACCTCGGGGTTCCCCGACGCCAGGCGGACGGCCACCGGGTCCAGCGCCGCCTCCAGGCGCCGTGCCTCGTCCCGCTTGGAACGGGGGGCTCGCCCTGCGTTCAGCGTCGACCTCACCTTCAGGACGAGCTCGGCGACGTCGTCGTCTGTGACGTCGGCACCCCCGCCCCGCAGCGCCTCGGTCCCCGCCTTCTTGGCGTCTGCAGACACGGCCATCCAGCTCTGCCTGGCGTCCGCCGCGCCGCCGGCACACAGCGCCCAGCACACCAGCTCGCCGCGGCCTGCGGCTCCTGGGCCGTTCGCCGCGGCCTCGCACAATCTTCGATTCCACGGGTGGAGCCGCTGCTCCCGTCAGGGCGCCATGCCGCGCCCTGCTGCGAGGTGGGCTGGGCGCCCAGACCTCGCGATAATCTGTACCAGATTGGAGCCATATGTTACGGTTGCGGAGCAGGCCGTGCCGCACACGCGAGGGCAGGGGGGCCTTCACGGGCAACCAAAACACAACCTACCGAGCCCACCCGTTTTGGAGGGCCGAGGGGAGCCAGGCCGGGAACGAGGCCCACCGGCGAAAAGGCCCCCCAACAAGCTGGCACGCCCCTGCGGGCTCCGAGGCTCCAAGGAAAATTCCACGATCCCACCCCAAACTGTCGGTGCACATCAACACTCATGCTCTACGATTATTATCCCATTATTTCATCATCATCATACATCTATCATCCCATCTTATTTCATTAATTCATCATGATCATCATCATCATCTTTCGCCATCGCCATTTCGGCCCCAATCTCCGCTCACCCCATCACACGTTTTCGTGGCCCCCTTTGGGAGCTCCACCGAAGGGCCCCAGTGGCTGGTTCGCAATGCCGCCCCCACCCCACTTTGGCACACCCCTCACAAGTTCGTGGCCCCATAGGGAGCTCCACCGAAGGCCCCAGTGGCAGGGTTCGCATGCCGCCCCCACCCCACTTTGGCACACCCCTCACACGTTTCGTGGCCCCATAGGTAGCTCCGCCGAAGGCCCCAGTGGCAGGGTTCGCATGCCGCCCCAACCCCACTTTGGCACACCCCTCACACGTTTCGTGGCCCCATAGGTAGCTCCACCGAAGGCCCCAGTGGCAGGGTTCGCATGCCGCCCCCACCTCACTTTGGCACACCCCTCACACGTTTCGTGGCCCCCACAGGGAGCTCCACCGACGGCCCCAGTGGCAGGGTTCGCATGCCGCCCCCACCCCACTTTGGCACACCCGCACGCGTTTCGTGGCCCCTTAGGTAGAGCTCAACCGTAGGGCCTCAGTGGCAGGTGTTAGGCATGCCGCACCCGCCCACTTTGGCACACCCCTCACACGTTTCGTGGACTCATTTAGGGAGCTCACGATAAGGACCAGTGGGCAGGGATCGCATGCCCGCCGCCCCCCACCTCACTTTGGCACACCCCTCACACGTTTCGTGGCCCCATGGGGAGCTCCACCGACGGCCCCAGTGGCAGGGTTCGCATGCCGCCCCCACCCCACTTTGGCACACCCCTCACGCATTTCGTGGCCCTATAGGATGCTCTGCCGAAGGCCCCCGTGGCAGGGTTCGCATGCCGCCCCCACCCACTTTTGCACACCCCTCACACGTTTCGTGGCCCCATTGGGAGTTCCACCGACGGCCCCAGTGGCTGGGTTCGCATGCGTCCGCGCCACCCATGTCGACACACCCTTGACACGTTTCGTGGCCCCATAATGAGCTCCACCGAAGGCCCCAGTGGCAGAGTTGGCATGCCGCCCCTCGCCCATTTCGGCCCACCCCTCACACGTTTCGTGGCCCCATAGGGAGCTCCACCGAAGGCCCCAGTGGTTGCGTTCGCATGCGCCCCACACCCATTTCGGCACACCCTCGTAATACGTTTTCGTGGCACCATAGGGTAGCTTCCACGAAGGCTCCCAGGTGGCTCCCCTCCAGACCCATTTCGGCACAGCCCACTACACACAGTTTGCGTGGACCCCATAGGGAGCTCCACCGGAAGGCCCCAGTGGATGCGTTCGCATGGCCTTCCCCACACCCTATTTCGGCACACCCCTCACACGTTTCGTGGCCCCATTAAGGCAGCTCCACAGGAGGCCCCTAGTGGCAGGAGTAGTAGCTTGCCTCTCCCGATCGCCGAACTTTCGGCACACCCTTCAACACGTTTCGTTGGCACACATAAGGGAAGCTCACCGAAGGCCACAGTGGCGCGGTTTGCTCCTATGAGAAGAGGGGGCCTAGTTTGCGTGCACCCCTAATTCGTCTCTCATATCCGAGCGGTAATCGCTCGCTGCATATGGTTGGGTCCTGCCAGGCTAATTCGAACACCTACGCGGTTGTGAAATGATTTTGACACGCGCGCGCGGCGGCGCGCGCAGGTGCCCTACAACATGTTTTTTTTTTTTCGCAAAAGGTTCTTAGATCAAACGATTATTTGATCAACGCACGTGCCCCGCATAACATGATTCGAAACATATTGAGCGTGGCGGGTCGATACTGGGACTGCTGACCTGCTATTTGCTAGTATTTAAAATGAAAGATCGTGCGCAAAAACAACCAACTATAATGCGCGGAGAGATGAAATTAAGTACGGCCTCGTGGCGCCATATCCGCCACCGTGCCCTTGAGGCACGGGTTGGAGTGTCCCCAGGTCCCTTGTTGGATCCCCTGGAGCCTCAGTCCTCAACCCTGATGATTCTTTAAAGCACAGAGCCCCAAGAACGCACTTTTCGAGTCCTCAGCCCCGAGAGGCCCTCAGGAGGCCCCACGATGCCACCAAGAGGCCCCAACGAGGCTCCAAGAGGCTGCCAAGAGGCCCCAACACCGTCCCCAAGAGGCCCCACAGCTGTCCCCCAAAGGCCCCCCAGAGCGCTCCGAAGAGACCCCAATAAGTATCCCTGAGGACTCTAACCCACAATCCAGGCACGGTGGCGGGATGGGCCGAAGGCCGTGAGATCCGCCGCCCCCTGTGGTCTTGCCACAAGGGTGCACGGCGTGCTGGATGTTTCAGGTTTTGGTTTTTGGTTCTTTTTCTAAAAGAACTCTCCAATGGGCTTCGGCCCGTCCCGCCGGCCACCCGCAAGTTTCCGAAAATCCATCTGTCAATGCCTTTGTTGCCCCAACTTGGCCCAAGATGGCCTCCAAGACGACCAAGATGGCCCAAGATGGCCTCCAAGATGCTTCCAAGACAGCCAAGATGGCCTCCAAAACGGGGTATGTTATGATCGGCTCCTTGATGCTACCTACAATGACGCCAAGATGGGCTCTCAAAGATGGTTCTAGGACGGCCTCTAAAGGCCCGAAAAAAGACGCCCAAGACGGCACAAGTGATCCTCCAGACGCCATCCAGGAAGGCACCGTATAGGTTTATACTCGTCTCGCCTCGCTTGGGGTTTTTAAGGATTTCGGCAATGTTCTTTCCTTTTCAGCTATACGACGGCCCCTAGAAGGCCCAATAGATGGTCCCCAACATCACCACCACTAGCACCCAAGAGGCCTCCAAGATGGCCCCATGACGGCCCAAGAGGCCCCCAAGAAGGCCCCAAGAGGGCATCAAGACGGCCCAAGAGGCCTCCAAGACGCCCAAGATGGCCTCCAAGACGGCCAAGATGGCCCAAGATGGCCTCCAAGATGCCTCCAAGACGGCCAAGATGGCCTCCAAGACGGGTAAGATGGTTCCAAGATGCACCCAAGACGGTCCAAGATGGCCTCAAGATGGTCTCAGACGGCCCAAAAGGCCGGCAAAAGGCCTCCAAGACGGCCCAAGAGCCCTCCAAGACGCCCTCCAGGAAGACCGATTCGGGGAACATATGGCCCAATAACTTGGCAGACCTCTGGCCACAGCAGTCGGCCGCATCGGCGCTTCCGAAAGGGCAGGGGGCGGCGGTGATTCGCCGTAGGCGTCTTCGATATTTGAGGTGCAATCTATGTGGTGCGATCGCTGCGATGCAAGCTATTTGGCGGAAGCCATTGGGTAATCTAGGTGGTCCGATATACCAGGAGCGAGCTATATGGTGCACTGTATGTGGTGCAATCCATCTTTGGAAATTGCAGTCGTGAGCTCCAACTCCAATTCTCGTGCCAACATCCCATCCTCCCACCAAGAACTTGTTGGCGAAACTCATCTGGCAATGATCTCAACGCGCTCACGGGTGAGTGGAAATCAACCGCGCAGACAAGTCCGTCTTGCAGGTCGCGAAGTTGTGGTGAAGATGGTGACGACCGCGACACCGACGACAATGGCGATGACAATTGTGATGACGCTGACGCCACTGGTGATGACAATGATGATGGGGGCGACCCGGGCCCGACGACGACGACGGCGACTGAACTGATGGTGATGATAATGGCGGGGGCAAGGATGACGCTGGCGATGATGGTGACCATGGTGCTGGTGATGATGAGGAGATGCCCGCGCGCAGAAATTTGACGAGGGCGGCGACATCGACGACGCCGACGATGATGACAACGGCGGTGATAATGATGACGATAATGATGATGATAATGATGATGATAATGATGATGGCGGCACCGGAACACTGACGATCTCGCTAACGATTGTGCTGATGAAGATGATACGGAAATGCGTGCTCGCAGAAATTCAGAAACCTGGGCATATTCTTACTGAGACCCATTTGGGTTGCGTATATCTTTCAACATCTCGATGCTGCAATGGTTGCAACCCCACTCTAGTTTTGAAATGAGCTCGACGTGCGCGCACGGAGGCGCGCACGCGTGGCCCGCATAGTATTACTTGGCAGAGCTGGCGGGCGCGCGACGGTGGTTGAACGCTTTCGACATGCGCGCGCGAGAGGGCCTACGTGGTCTCATTGAAAACGCTGGCTAACAAAAACCGATGGTTATCTCATGAACTCAGCGACCGCGCGCGCATAGCAACTTTTTGATCGACGAGTAAAATGTAGTTATTGAACACCTGTGTCTTGACCTGGTTCGAAGGCCAATGGTTTTTGAATGATTCTGACACCCGCGCGCGGCGGCGCGCGTATGTGGCCGCAAGGTGTTCTTTGCTCTCCAGAACTTCTCAGGCACATGCAGTTCCTGGATAAAGCCTAACATGATCTGCAAGAGATGGCGGGGGGTGGAGTCGATGCTGGTCTGGCTTGGATGCTATTAACTCTGAGTTCACCTTTCTGAAACAGCAGACTCCACCACCCTCTCCTGCCCAAAGTTCGCCCCCCTCCCCCCCACCACCCCCAGGGGTATTGCAATTTACATCTGGTTCGTGATTCGGCATCGTCGCCCATTTTGCATATC